AAATCATTTTGAATCACCAGTTGCTAATAGAAGAAGTTTATTTTATGAGGAAAATAGGATTCTGTCTATATCCTAGAAGAAATTGTCAAAAATGATAATGGAGACTGAAGAACCTATAAAAAATATGAAGAGGAAGCTGACAGCTCTCAAGGAATCTTCAAACTGCTTGAGGTTTATTTACTTGGCCCACCCACAAGGACAGGGAATCTTCATTGCTTTCCAGATTCTTCTGCACAGGACATTTGGTGCTACAGGACAAATGAAACCAAAACAGTGCTAGAAGTGGAAAATAAATATCAAGGAAATTGTAGAAACATAAAACCACTGGTGCTCTTCTTGGTATCCAGACTCTTGACCTCCCAGTGGGCTTCCCAAGTGGCTAGTGGTAAAAGAATCTGCCTATCAGTGCAGAAGACATGAGTTCAATTCCTGGGTCTGGAAGGTCCCCTGGAGAAGGGAATGGTAACTCACTCCAGTGTTCTTGCCTGGAAAATCCCATGGACAGAGGAGACTGTGGGGTTACACTCCATGGGGTCGCAAAGAAATGGAAACAACCCAGCACCACACAGTGGCAGCAGACACTTGACCTCAAATCTTGCCTCCACTAATAACTAGCTTTGAGACCTTGAAGATGGCCACCATTTTCTCTGGACCTCAGCTTACTTACATGTTAAATGTAGGCAATGATTTTCGTCCTATATGCTTTACCAATTGTGAATAACAAAGAAACAGTGAGATAAGAAACATATAAGAATGTATCCAATTATAAAGTGGGTGTGGAAATTTTGCTGGACCTTTCTCCTCCAGCAGTTTCTTACTAGGTACTGAGAAAATACACAGGTTTGTCCAAGAATAACTCAAACAGAACATTGTTGAAACACATATTTCAAAAACAATTCTTTAATCACTAGAGGATACATTTTTCCCTTGATTGAGAAAGATCTACTGTATCTTTGATAGTAGTCTATTCAGATATTAGTCTATATAGATATTCAAGGATAATTATGGCCCCTTTCCATGTTCCAGAAGGCTCAAAGACTTAGCATTTCAGTAAATCTATAAACTGGTAATTTCTGTCTTATGAAGTTCCAGTTTAGAGTTCATGATCTTTTCACCTGCAATGTTGATCTCATATATTACAGGCTCCCTGAGTATACAAACTTTTTGTTAGATCAGGCCTTCCAACGTCTAACCTAGAGTCACCAGAGTTATATTGAAACTGAACACTGATAAAATGGTACTCAACTTAAAAACTTTATTCAGTTCAGGTTAGTGCAATTTGGCAAACAATGACTTAGGATTAATGCTGAGTCAGGCACTGTTCTAGGTAGAGGGCTGTTCAACAAGGATTTATTTACATAATACCCTCAGCCCTCCTGTGAGATACTATCCAAACCCATGCAGTGGCATTTGGGCTTTAAAAAGAAAATCTGCTGCCAATCTAATAAACTAACCATGTGAAAAAATAATTTTGAAAAAGTGGAGAAATTCAATATGGCCAGTTATTAGATGGTTCATGGTAGTGGTTTAGTCACTAAGTCGTTATCTGACTCCTGCAACACCATGGACTGTAGCCTGCCAGGATCCTCTGTCCATGGGATACTCCAGGCAAGCATACTGAAGTGGGTTGCCATTTTCTTCTTCAGATGGTCCTTAATTAACATCAATTTTGTTTGTGATAAGACAATGCCCATTTTTTGAGAGATACATAACAAAGTCAGAGGAGGTGACTGATATATGCCTGGGATATATTAAAAAACTCAGAAAGAAAAGAAAAAGTGGAAAAAAACTATAAGGTAGATGAAACACATATACTCAAATTCTGAGGACTGTTAAATCTAGATTAATGGCATTTGAGGGGTTATTTATTATTTTTTTTCTCTTTTGTGAATGTTTGGGATTTTTCACATTAGATATATTTTAAAAATTGGTTGCCCAGACTTCTAGCTTTTTTTGTTTCCCTCCTCTACCTTGCTTTCAGCACCAGGGCTATACACTGAAATATGCATCTCAAGTGGTATGTCCTATCTCCAGTCCTGCATCCAATTCAAGGGCATCCCTGAAGGCCTCGGGTCACCTCTGCTGAGAGGCCTTTGTCTAGTTGCTCAGATAAAACCAGTGGTTTCCTCCATCTCTGGGCACTCTCAGGACTTGACTCATAGTTCTATTATGGTATTACACAATTTTATTACATGTAACTGTTCCTTGTCTCTTTCTTCAGCTGGAGTGGAAACTCCTTAAGATTAAGCTTGTGTCTTCGTTGTCTTTCTTTCCCCTTATTTATCACAGAGTCTGCTCTGCATAAATACCTGCAAAGGGAGAATTATCCATCTTCCTAGGACCTAGTGTATAACACACAGTCATTTCGTATCCTCAATAAGGATAACCTCAAAAGACCATTTTGGGGACTAAACTGTGCAAGTCATATTTTGACCATAGAAATATGGAGCTATGCAAAACTTGTGTATTTGTTGTCTTAGCCTCGTTACTGGAGCAGTTTCAGAAGCCTACTCGTTCATTTCAGGTATGAGGCATTTGATTGACCCGAGTTAGCAGGGACACATCTTGGAGAACACTGAATAACTAGGTCTCATTCTGGTGCGATGCACACTCTTACTATCCACAAAGTGCTTTTAATTTACCAGGAAGTCTTTTGACAAAGCTTTTCTCCCTTTTGGGGCTTCTCTGGTGGCTCAGAAGGTAAAGAATCTGCCTACAATGCAAGAGACATGGGTTCAATCTCTGGTTTGGAAAGTTCCCCTGGCAAAGGAAATGGCAACCCAGACTGAGCGACTAACACTTTCGCCCTTGGAGGAAGTGTGGGTGGGGGTGCTGGTGATGCAGGTCAGAGAAGCAAAAAAAAGACAATTCCCGCTAAGCAGTAGACTTCTTCTGTGCTGTTACAATGCAATACAGTACAATCTCATTAGATTAAGCAGATTTGCTTTTTATATTGACTTTTCATAGAGATTGATTCTACAAATTTTTGTGAAAAGGAGTGTCCCAGGGTCAAAACAAACATGTGACACTTTTCTAGTGGCAAACGCTCTGTATAAATTTAGACTTTGCTGAAATGACTAGCTATCATGCAATCCAATCTTAACGGGCTTTTAAAAATCAACAAGAAAAATATATTTTATGAGTTTGACTTGGTTGTTAGAGCCCCATCTATGTGCATGATTTACTTGGGCACGTGGCATGTGTTTTGAAAAGTCAGCCTCCCTTAGGAATTACACTCTTAAGATACTTGCTTAGAGATATTTAAGCTGTCAGTTACAAGAGGCTTGAGCCAGAAATGGGCAAGTCTGGGTTAAGTGCAGTTGTTATTTAGCCTTTCTGTGTATGTTTGACAGTTGTGGTCAAATATATAGGTGTCATCTCCCTCAAGTAATCTTTACCATCTGTTGCCTCAGCTCATCTTAGGGTTCATAATTTTGTTGTTTCTCTTAGGACCAAGTTGAGAGTATAACGTTAAGCTTAATATAGACTTGTTAGCAGGCTTCTATTTTTTTTTTTTCCCCAGTCTAACCATGTGTGCTTGTCCAAAGAAGGCTACGCAGTATTTTATAGTATTTGATCACAGATTGTGAATTCCAACTTTGCTTGTTTCCTTTGCCGGCACTGAAGTTGTATCTTCTTTGTTCCTTTGATTTGCAAAGTAATGATGGTGGCTGAGCATCCAGTAAAGAGCTCATCTTTTCTGGAGCAATTTCTTAAATAAGGATTTTAAAAATTATTATTATAAAAACCAAAGGAAATTGCACCATATAGTTTTTTTCAAGGCAAAACTCATTAGACATGATCAAGCATTCCTTCATACTAAAGACTGAACACACATAATAAATATAATTGGGGGTAAATTTGCTTTAGGGTAAGAATGAAGACTTGAGCTGCTGTATAGAATAATGTGCCTTTGAGTTGGAGTCTTGAACCACCACCATAGGTTTAAGGCAATTAAATCTTTTTTGTTACATTTAAGCCCCATTTTCATAGGAGTATAAACTGTATATTTGCTGTGAGACTTATTTATGGATTTGTATAGCAGGGTAATCTTTATTATTCAAATCACTGTTCCTTACTTTTATGGGAACACGTGTCTTTGTAATAGTGATTCTGAGGTCCATTACAAAGACACATGCTTAAATTATTCCCTCTGTGGGACCTTGTGTTTGGACTTTTGTGGTTCTTGGGGATGTATTGTAGTTTTATTATAATGTTGACCCATAAATAAATAAAATATATCAATGAATTTAAAAATATAATAACTCATGGACTTCTCAGGTGGTGCTAGTGGTAAATAACAAGCCCACTGATGAAGGAGATGAAAGAGATGCAGGTTCAATTCCTGGGTCAGGAAAATCCCCTGGAGGAGGGCATGGCAGCCCACTCTGATATTCTTGCCTGGAGAATCCCATGGACAGAGGAGCCTGGTGGGCTACAGTCCATGGGGTCACAAAGAGTCAGACATGACTAGGTGACTTAGCATGCACACGGTGTTGGCTGTGCTCTACTTGGCTATGTAAGCTGTGAAATTAAACAGCAGAATTAGCATTCACACTCTCTGTTCATGAATAAGATTCTTTTAATGACAGTGTATTTAGACACAGATAGAGGGGAGTTTAATTATTGATCGAGTTTCTTTTCCTGAACAGAATACATAGAATGTTCTTTCAAAATCCAACAAAAATCATAGGACATACACTCTTAATATATGATGTAAATTGGGTGTGTGGCATCCTTGGGATGCAATGAAAATAGTGACAAGTAAACAATAAAACAATAGCAAATCAATTTAGCAAAATCAGAAAGTGGAAAGCATTTGATGAGACACAACTTCCACAAAGAAACCGTGAGGTGCTGACAGAACTCTTATATAACCTTCAATGCCGGAAGGGCCGTTGTCATAGTTGTTCCTGGAAATCTTGAGGTTTTATTTTTCCTAATCACCTACAATATTGTGCAAACAGCATTGACTAATTTATATTGTGTTTCCTCTTAAGGCTGACTCAGGTTCAGTTCTCAAAGGGGTGCAGCAGAGCAGCATGTAGGAGGCATATGCAAAGAAGCTTCCAGATGCAGGACAGAACGTGGCCTCAGGAAGGTCATGCGGGTCAAGCTGATTACCTCCTCCAGCGCTGGCAAGCAGAGGGCTCAGCTGGGTTACCCAAGTTCACAGGAGCTGTTGACATTCAGCTGCAGCGCTCACTCCTTACTGATGGGCAGGAGACAGTCTGGGCCTCTGGTTAACTCTTCCGTGCCCTGTTTCAAGATTGCACCGAGGTCAAAAAAGAACCTGTGACTTCACCTCAGCTTATTCCTGGTTGTATTGAAGAAATAAACCCATTAAACCAATATCTAATATACCTCTCACAAACGATGGTGACAATCCACTTAATCATTTTGAAGATTCTGGATAAGACATGAGTAAATGTGTTTGTCACGTAATTCTCCATCATGCAGTTCATGTTTATTTCTGGGGAGGGTAGGAGTGGGGTAAGGTTTACCATTTTAATTTTCATTTTTCATTCAGAAATTCCCACTTTGTCTTTAATAAAGAAGATATGGTTTTTTAAAAAGATAATAACAAAAGGTGCGTGTTTCCTCTGAGTTGTTCATGTTAAATGAACCTCAGGGAAAACCTTCATACCTCAGGGAAAAACTTTAGCTGAGACTCGGAGTTTCAGGGAAACTCTCAGTTAAGTTACAGACTCTGAGCTCTATGCTAAGCCAGTTCCTTCAAGTTCTGATCTCTTGTTGACACATTATGGTCTTCTAGAAGTGACTTAACCATCTGCTTCTATAAACTCATTTGTAAATTGGGAATGACAATTAATCCATGAAACCTCTCTCTCTGATAGCAGTGGGAAGATTGACCTACTGTCTAATCCTACGGCCTCTAAATTATCTTTATCATCAGTAGCTCTCTGTTCACCAGCATTCTACTGGTCCTGAAACTGAATCAGTGGTTCTCTTTTATTCCTAATTAAAATGGTTTAGGATCTATATACAATGGAGGCCCATTTTTATTCAACTACTTAAAAATGTCTTAACTTTGTTAAGGGTAAAGCATTTGTGAGGCCAAAGCCCTACCCTTAAGAAGCATGTTGTTTAGCCAGAAGACAGAGCGTTACAACACGATGTGGTCAATTCTGGAAAATCCAAATGAATGATTCAGACTCCAGGTGGATCGGGGGAGGTAGGAATTACCCTGTTTGGTTTCAGACTCTGTCAGATGGCCTAGCTAACTGCCAAATCTCCATTTGACCTGAGGAAATAAACAAGACTACTTATATAGTTTCTCTCAGTCATGATTTTAATCCCCAAGGCAGAGATCCCTAGGTTTACCTCTTTCTGTAACATTTGACACAGTTGACAATTTTCTCTATTATAGAGGTTCTGGGAGCTATGTCAGTTTTAGTGTTTGAATTTAGTGTGAATAAAGTAAATTGAATGATGCTGGTCCTGAATAAGTATTAGCTTTCTACCTTTCTGTCTCCAAACTCTTTCACTTGATTTCAGTCACCCCCCTATATTTTCAGGCATTTTCCAAATCTTTCACACTAATGCCCAGCCCTCTTTTGAGCTCCAGCTCCATTTCTGCACTTACCGCTCTGCCTTTCCCCTCCTGTATCCCAGTATCATTTTTAACTTACAAGTCTGTAGTAACATGTTTCCTAAACAAGCTTCTTTCCCGACTTCTTTTTTTGTAGCATACAAAGTCATCATTCACCCTGTTAACCAGCCTTTCAGCTTCAGAGTTCTCTTTGATTTCTCCTTTGGCTTTCCCACACAATTTCTCTCCCATCATCTAAATCTGATCTTCAGGCTTTCCTTAATTTATTTGTACATACCTTTCATCAGAAAATCTTCTTGAAACAAAACTGTCATTCTCTCACTCATCTGTCACACCCTTGAGGACCACAGGGCAAACTCCACACTCCTGAATGTTACACTGAAACTTTGTAATGCCTTCTATCAGCCTTATTACTAATGATACCCACCACTGTCTTTATTAGCACCCTCCAGAGTTATTCCAGCCCTGAAATGCTCTGTATAGTACCTCCTTCTCTTCCCATCTACACTTGCCTTCTCTGCAATCATTACCCTACACTTGTTCAAGATCTTATTCAGGTGGCCACAAAACCGGCACCGATTCCTCTTGCAAACAATCTACCTTCTGATATATAGTGCTTAAGTTCTGCTTTTCTGAAGGAACTTCATATTTACTATGTTACAAAACAAAAATTCAACTGGGTAAATTTTAAAGATTTTTTTTTTTTTACTTTATTCGATGATTTGCAGTTGGGCAACATTCCAGCTAGCAAATAGAAAGGAGCTCCGAGTAGATGTATGAAATGGAAGACTTTGGGAGGCAGAAGGGGTGAAAGTTACTAGCAAAAAGTAGATTGTTGTGGCAAGGTCACCTTCCTTTAGGAGGCAGCAGGATCTATCAGAAAGGTTACCTCACTTGTGCTGACCAGGTCATTTCAGACTGACTTAAGATTCCACTCCTGGAGAGCCTGAAACTGTAATCAAGTTAGGTATTAAGTCCTGGCTTGGTGATGTGGACTTAGCAGAAATGACTCCATTTGGGACATGTTGTCTCATTTAAATAACTATCAGGACCACATTGGTGGTGGCTTAATTGCTCAGCCGTGTCTGACTGTTTGTGACCCCATGGACTGTAGCCCACCAGGCTCCTCTGTCCATGGTATTTCTCAGGGAAGGATACTAAGTGGGTACCCATTTCCTTCTCCAGGGGATCTTCTTGACTCAGGGACTGAATCTGGGTCTCCTGTATTGCAGGCACATTCTTGACTAAGTCACCAGGAAAGGCCATAAGTACTTATTAATTCACCCTACTTCTATGCTCTAAGAAGATAGAGGATATTGTGTCTTCTTGATGTTTGAATCTTCATCAGCACCTAGCACAATGCTTTCTAAATAATCGATAGTTAATAATTCTATTGTAAAAACAACTTGAGTAAAATAGAACTAAAAACTATCTTTTCCTGAGTAGTTTGAAATATTAAAAAATTTTTGAACATGAAAATGGTAATAAAATCCATTCTAGTTCATCATTATCTGTATTCAAATTTCAAGAGGATGACGAAAAACTAAATCTATTTTTTGACCTATAGAGTTAAGGACAACAGATGGCTTATAAAATAAGATTAAAATTAAAATGTGAAGAATTAATATCATCAAGAGTGAACATCCCATTGGATTGCAAGTAGAATGGGAAAAGTCAAATAATGTAATCAGACCGTTCTCATTTGGCTCTCAATTAATAACTAGAAGTTACAAAGTTCTGCTCAGGAATATTAATAGCAATGTCCAAGCAGGAATTTCTATGATTTCATCTATGCAAAAAATCTAAGGGAAATAAATGAAATAGAAAGAGTAATTTCTGGGAAAATATGGATAATTTATTATCATATTATGGTGAAGCAATTAACAAATTAAATATTAGTATGTTAAATACTAAAATAACAATATTTTATATCATTATATATAAAAAGAAAGACTTGTTTGTGTGGCTTGTGGCAGAGTGTACAAGAAGGGTATGAAGCTATTGAAGAGGATATAAAACTACCTTTTTGAAAAGGAACAGTGACAAATTTGGTAATATGGTAAAATCACTGTTGTGAAAAATACTTCACAACACAACACAACAAAGATGCACATTTTTCCTATCTGAAAAGAGAAGAAGAAAATTGAATTTTGTCTAATCACTGCTTTTAACCTCTAGGGTTGAGTCTGTCATTCCTTGGTCATTAGAAATGCATTCTTTTTCTGCCAATGTTCTTGACTTAAAATTGTGGTATTCCTATTGGGTATTTTCCTTCCTCTGACAGGTAACTTTTTATTACTGCTTTTATTCAGAAATGAAGAGTTCCTCTTTAAAACTGCTATAGATCAACATATAGGTATGAGATGGTGGCACTTTTCTTGACCCCAAGATGTGACTTTCTCATGAGAGCACTGAACCAATTGTTGGTATGTCAGGTTGTTTTCTGTCCTATACTTTCACCTGCAGTTTGATCCATGATTTTTCTCAACAGGGGTGACCTCTCAACAGAGGAGGCTGATCTGTCTGCCCTCTGGTTTCCCAGAAGATCATAATCATGCTGCAGTTGAAATTGTGCTTCAAGGTAACTTGATGTCATCACTTTCTGGACTGCTTATAGTCATCTCAGTATGACAAATGCACCCTTTATGTTACATCTTGAAAATCTGGCATCATCCATTCTTCCTACATCTTCCTTTCAATGCAGACAAGTTACAATAAGCATGTCTTCAATGCCAGTATGTAGGAGAAAGTATTAAATCGCCTGTGAGCAGTTTGTGTTTCAACAAGCCCTCCTGGTGATTTTGAAATATGTTAAGTTTGAGAGGCACTAGTTTAGGTAATAAACAGTAACTGCTGGAACAGAAATCCCCCAGAGCTCACAACAAAGTCTCCTTTCTTGCTCACATTACAGTCCAATATGGGTGAGACAGGTGCCCTCTGTCTTGTAGCTAAGACATCTTAAACACTTGGCTTTCAAGTTGCTGAGGGAGGAAAAGAGGTCTGAAAGGTTGCTTGGGAAGGGTTTATGGGTCAGGCTTTGGATTAGCGTATATTACATCTGCCCACATCTTGTCTGCAAGAGTCTAGTCAGTTAATTGCAACATCCAGCCAAGAAGGCTAGGGAATGTAGAGGAGCACATGGTTGTTTGTGGGAGTTAACAGTTGGCCACAAGCAGGAGCAGAGAAACAGTATATTACATCCATCAGCAGATAAGTCGTTCTAATTTTTTCTTTTATTTATAGGTGGTACTAACAGTAGAGAACCCCCTGGCATCCAGGTTCGATGCATGAGACAGGGCGTTCAGGGCCAGTGCACTGGGATGACCCTGAGGGGTGGAATGGGGAGGGGCTACACATGTACATCCATGGCTGATTCATGTCAATGTATGGCAAAAACCACTACAACATTGTAAAGTAATTAGCCTCCAATTAAAATAAATAAATTAATTAAAAAACAAACAAAAAAGAACTCCCTGGCAATGCAGGTAGACATAAGAGACAAGGGTACGATCCCAGGGTTGGGAAGATTCCCTGGAGGAGGCCACGGCAACCCACTCCACTATTCTTGCCTGGAGAATTCAAGGGACAGAGAAGACTAGCAGGCTACAGTTCATGGGGTCTCAAGAAGTCAGACACAACTAAAATGATTGAGCATGCACATAGCATCTATGGGCTCCTGGCACCGAACTATTACCTTGAAAGTCATCTTCCAACTTGTGTTTGACCCTTCTTCTAAACTAGGGTCTGTTTATTCCTCCCAGAGCTTTGTCTCTGAACC